TTCAAATGTAATCCATGACGAGGAAAACTGATGCTCGTTTAACAGTGTAAATCCGATCGAAACCTGTTGCAATCACATAACCACTAAACAGAGGCAACACTTTTCTTCGTCATGCAATACATTCGAAGTTTAAAGAGTGTAGATTAGTACCCTATAACGGCTGATTCGTCTTGGCCAAGCACTCAACTTGTAGCTGAAAGAACGTAGATTAATCGCCTGTCAGTGGCAATAACAATAAACGACCAGAACACTGTTAAAATCACACTTTATTTGCAACGGTTGACACTGTATCTCGTCGTGCGTACCCCGGTTAGTTCACTTTGGACAGCTCGTACATCGTTATACGGACAACTTTCGGTTAGCTGAAGCAGTCAATTTGTAGCTGAAAGTACGTAGATTAATCCACTGTCATTGATAATACCAATAAATAATCAGAACACTGTTAAAATCGCATTTAATCGCGGAATACCACTATTTGTTTGACCGGTGGCGCCATCCGTGGCGAACCGCTGAAACTGGTAGCCATATAATTGGCTAGCAGTTTCAGCTTCTCCCCACGGATGGCGCCACCGGTCAAAAAAGTAGTGGTATTCCGCGATTAAATGCAATTTTAACAGTCTTCCACTCATTTATTGTTATTATCAATATTAGAGGATTAATCTACGTTTCCTAAGCTTCAAATCTAATGGTCAGTCAAAACGATAACTGTCCGTACAACGTTATAAGAGATGTCCAAACGGGAACTAAACGCCGAGCGGATAACAAAACAGTGGCAACCTATTAGATACGACACAGTGACAAACTATATACGATACCCGTAATATAAGTTGTATATGATAAATAAATATGTACATACATCTCACAAGACGGGGTCTATTAGGCATGCTCCGGGGGTTCTATGACCCCACTTTCTCACCACAGGGGGTCCCTTACTTATGCTCCGGGTGGCATTCGATACGAGTACTTTTGTTCGATACCTACTTGGTATCGCAACCGCTGACTACGGTCACCGGAGTCAGAACTTGAGAATCTATTCGATAACAATTTATGATTTATGTAACCGAGAACTAATAATGTATAATAAGCTTTCTAAAAAGTCGATTTAACTGTGTATTACAGACATTGCACAGATCTTCTTTATTTATTGCAAATATTTATGAAATTAATTGTTATAGTGGCGTCGAGTGGAACTACGATCATCAGAATGGTTGGTTGAGAATCTATTCAAACACTGCACAAAGTACTATGCCGATCAAGTGAGTTACTCTAACTTTGAAATTCCATTTGATAGTTTAAAACAAAATGCATATAGCTTAATGAAATATAAACGATTACTATTCGCGCCATCTTTCAAGAATATTGAACCGATTACAAAGTAACTATTAGTTTAGAAGTATTATCAATATATCGAATAGTTACTTTTTTGAATCACTTTTTCGTCTGTGCACCGGAAGTGCCGACTAGGTTTTCCGGTGGTGTAGGTAGAAGACCGCGGCAGCCACGGTTTCATACGTCTGCCCATTTTTCCAAATATCTATTGTTCTTTTATCGAAGTATCGCGGTTGGTGAAACTTTTTTGATCATGGTATATTCGAGGATCCTCGTCTGAGTTCCAGTTCCCTTGTTCGACGCTTTTCGAGCGAAAAATTTCTATTCAAAGGGAACGATGTTTCGAACGCGCTACTACGAAATTGTTACTACATACAAAGAAAGACAGAAGTAGATTGTAATTGACCCAAAGAGAAATAATAACTACAAAACGTAAGTCATTGTTTTCTAACATGTTTCCTTACAAAATTAATATATTTGATCATCGCTACATATGTATTCATTATATTCATGGACATCAAATGAGTTCGTCTTACTAGTCAGTTAAAATGTATTTAATCATTTACTTCGACACTCAGATAGCACACAGACGGTTTAAAGACGCCTGTTTGCTCAGACGTAAGTTAACATGAATAAACATTGAGCGTGACGACAACCTGCTGGAAATATCAGTTAAGGTATAGTTTCTTCGAAATTCGATTACGTATAAGTAATATAAATATCTTTGTTAGACTTAACTTAAACACCGTTTAGTACGAATATCAATCGATTATAAATCTTACAGGTTGTATACATCATAACCTTAAACTTTGTTTATTCCGTCACTCATTTCGCAATCGTAAATAAACTGTAATATTTCAGTACGGCAATGACTTAAACAACGCGTAATATATTTCGAAAAGAGAAAGAGAAGGGGTCTGTATAACTAATGTACTGAAAATAGATGGTCTCCCGATAACATAAAAAAAACGAGTTTCGCGAGCGTATAAAAACCGCCTGAAACCGCCGAAGGGCGCGCTCGTACGATCGAGGAATCCAGCTGTCGGACTATAAATCTGTTGAACGGTTTGCTTTGTATTCCGGAAATTTATTTGAACATTTTTTCCGCGACCGGGCAGGTTTCGACGAGCGGAAATTCTCTTGCACAGTTTCACGTGTTCGCGAATGACCAATGATAATCAAGTCTTCCATCTCTTCGTCGTGATTTTTAATTGAAAAAAAAAACAATCCATTATTCTGGAAATCAAATTGCATTTTACGAGAATCGCGAATTTGCTTTGAAATTTCATTTAATTCTATTCCTGGGATCTGAGTACTCTGTGGGTTTGGTGCATCCAAATGAAGATACCTACTAAACGTTTCTGACAGTTTCTCCATTTATATGAGGGAAACCTGAATGAACCTACTGGTATACACATTTCCTGTTTATTTATTCATATGTTTACAAAAGTAGCTAAGAGCCTAAGCTGACTAATTGACTTTTCTGTTTGGATGCATTATTCAATTAATAATTGAATTTCCAAGCAGTGTTATTTTAAGAACTAAGACTTAAGAGCTTCCTGTCTTTCTACTGGTTAATGTAGGTTAGATTAACTGAAACTGTAGGCTTTACGGGTTCTTTTTCATATTGATACGGATAGATATCAAAAGCTTTAAGACAAGGGAAGTGGGATTGCGGTGTGAGAAATGGCATAATGATTATCCACTAGGTGTTACAATTGTACAGTTTATTCGCCAAAGTATCAGAAAACTAACTAAACAGTTCTGTGTCAATCAATCATTTTCCATATTTAACAATGACTGACACAAGCTGTATTGAAAAGGGAAGGCTCAGATTTTCTATTGACAGGAGACAATAAAGAACCTTGAAAGATTTACATATAAGGTTCTTTATTGTCTCCTGTCAATAGAACATAATGTTTCAATCGAACAAGCTGTCAAAGGATGTGTCATGTCCTAGTATCATAAACATTTACTTGATCTTTGTGACATGAAAATAGCTAGAGTGTAAAAAGGGATAACTAAAAGAAAGAATTTAAGCTTATAGTAATTTATTATACAACAATAGTTCTGTTTACAGCACCATGAATTATCATAGTTACAAGACCAGAGGAGCTGATAAATGGGATTTAAATCACTAGTCTGTGGAAGGTAAGAAAAAGATGAGATGAAAAATCAAAAGTTTCTTGACTTTATCATTGCTGGAATCACCATTATAATTGTTTCAATCCTCCAGGATGTTCCCTCGAGACGGATACGCGCTGTCGTTGGCATGGAATGGCGACGTGGAAGACGCGGTTGACCCGTTTAAAAAAGATCACCCTCGCATCTGTTGCTGAGTGCAACAGATCCCCGATCCGGACGGAGAAGCCCGGGGCCAGGAGAAGGAGAGAGAGGAACAACGCACGCGTGCACGATGAAACGTCGAACCTTTTTTTTGTTTTTTTTTGTTTCGTCGTCCGGCCTAACTCGATTCTCCAGCAAATTTCCATGTCCCGTTGGTCCAGTTTTTTTTCCTCGACATACACGTTCGGGGCGAAATTCGGGGCGCGGAAAAGCTTTGAAAATGGCTGAAAGATTGACGAGGCTCGGGAATAAACCGAGTTCCGAACGGGAGAATCGGAAATAAAATCGCGCGTAGAACTGGACTATTTTCGGTCTTCTGTAAACATATACACGCGAAAGTTGGAAGACGTATGGCGTTTAGGAAACGATACACACCGGACTGTTTTCTATTGTGGTACCCGCCTGGCTTCATACCGGGGTAAATCATTTAACGTCTGGGGAGATTAAGATTGATAGTCGTTTAATCTCCACTTATCAAATGTATTTCCAGCATAGAATTAATTGGAAACTCGGTGGAAACGATGGAGCGTCACGTATAAGCAACGGGGGAATATCTCCGTATGTGGAAACAGAAGTTTTATATATGGAAATAATTTATTGTACACAACATGGTCAGTGTACGAATTGTCTCCGGTGAGTTGTAAAAGGTCTCCGACCTATACGAACGAGGGGTTTCGACATTGTTTATCTTGCTGTTCTAGGAACGAGTCTCCAAAAAAAAAAAAGAAAGGAAACACCTCGAGCCAGGGAGTCATCGCTTGGAATCAAACGACCCTCTCCCCTCCCCCATTGAAAACCGAGGGTTCCCGATCCGGTCGTTGCTCATTAAAAGAACCACGGTAACCACTTCTGGTCCCGGTGCCTCGTGCGCGCGGAGGCTCACATTGTGTGGCGACTTTGACCCCGTGGTCGGTACGGTACGGTACGGGGAGGGGATAGAGGTAGCGCGACAGAGAGAGAGTGAGAGAAAGAGGAAAGAACACCACCAACGGTGTCCGGTTTTCGAGTCTCTCCTCCGCATCGTCGCGAAATATCGCCGGGTGGGGGAGTAATAGAGACGGCTGACGCCGTGTCGGGTGAACAGAGAGAGGGCGAGTGGTCACGATGAAATCGAGAAAGACGCGTCTCTCTTGAAGGAGACAGTAAAAGCCGTTGCTGGAGGTGGTGGGGTGTATGGTAGAGGGGGATGGAGCCACGGGAGATGGTGGAACGGGCGCGAAGATGTTGGCGCTGGCGAGAGAGGTAGCGACACAGGTCTGCAAACGCTGATTGGACGAGGACAGAGGGTAGCTTGTGTTGTGTGTGTGTGCGTGCGTGCGTGCGTGCGTCGAGTGACTGTCATGTAGTAGTGGCAGTGTAAAGAGAGAGAACGGAAGGCGGAGAAAGAGGAAGTCGGCCAGGCGTATGAGCGCGGGCGAGAGACAGAGTGACGAACAGTAAGGGAACGCGCGCGGCTGAAACAGGCGGCGTGGAGTTTGAGGGGAGGGGGAAGCACCGGGGCTTTTGAAAAAGTTTTATCTTGCCGGCGCGCTCGGCCTTTCAGACGCTACCGAACGCCGGTACGCTCTTGTACGGTCCGTGTCCGCCGCGTGTTGTTCCGCGAGCCTTCCTCTCTTTCGCTCTCTCTCTCTTTCTCGAGTTTCGCTACCGCGGCGGTCAGTTTTTGATATCAGTGCCCTTGAAGGGGAGGCTTGGGTTACCAACCATACCATATCATACCATACCATACCACGTTCCACACAACGGCGTGGTTTCACGACCGCGGTACACGGGTAGAGAGACACAGTTGAATATCGGAAGGCACACCAGTAGGACCATAGAGACCAGTGAGGTGGCGAAGAGGTCGCGGGTTACGCTCTTCGCCCGGGAACCATGACAAACCCGGGGCTGACGAGATGCTGCTTGGTTCTACTGCTGATCGGGACTCTCGCTGTCGCCGCGTACGAGGTAAGTCTTTTTTTGACACATGTTTCCTTGGATCGTATACAGTGACTCGCAAGTTTGTTCACGGAAGGGTGTCACTTAGAAAAATTGTTCACAATAGGGTGATCAAAGTAGTAATAAAGGGAATATAGAAATTGTAAGTGTTATTTTGGAAGTCTGTGAACAAATGTTTGGGTCATTGTATATGTGCTCTGATGATTAAGAAAGTAACCCGAGTTAATTGAATATTCGGCGAAAATTCTTTCGTATTATTGTAACTCAAATATGTTCAATTTTGTTTTACATTTTTCACTCTGACCACTTTCATGATCATATGTATTTCACCCTGGAACGACACTTTTGGGGTCATCTTGAAAGGAAGCAGGTAGGACCCTTTTACCCATACGTATTTTGATCCACCTTGAGATCATGCTGTCGGGTATCTTGTTGCTTAAAGTGTCTATAGAAGAATCTTGTCTTGGGTGAACTCTAGAGTGTGTCGTTCTAGAGTCAATCTTTCCTAACAGCCAGCCGACGATCAAGCAAATCCCCAAATTTCATACTTTATCAGTGTGGTTATAAAACGTTTTCCTGTAGAACAACTTTAGGATCGTTCAGAACACTTTAGTGACTTCATCTGTTTCTTGTCTATTCCGCAGTGTTTCTAAAGTGTGTGTGTGTGTATATACATTCTCTTTGCATAATAGATGGTGACCCAGTGTATATCGGATTTTCCGTATGAATTCGAATGTGAATCTATCTCTCTGAACCTTAATGGTACCATTTCGGCGACCTTGACGTGTGCAGGTTACACACTGTTCATAGAATCGAACCAAATGTTTTGGACGAGTCGAATACTTGTTTCGTATATGTATTATATATGAGAGAGAGAGAGAGAGAGAGAGAGAGAGAGAGAGAGAGAGAGAGAGAGAGAGAGAGAGGTAGAGA